ATGTCCAGATTTCATGATCCATTTCTAGCCTTTTACAGCCTGCTGTGAAGACATGCATTTTAATGGCTTTAGCCTCATCGCTATCTGAACAACAGGGACTTGATCTGTGTATTGAGATGGAATAAGAGAACAATGGAAGCTTTTCTTTTATGCTTCTGGGCAGCCTAAAGGAAGTTTGCAAGAATGGAGCTCAGCTGTGCTGTGATATTTCCACCACCACTCAGTGGGGGGGAAAGATTAACAGATTAAAGGCCTTACCCAACAAGACAAGTGCATGTGTACACATATTCAGGTCCCATATCTAAGGGTCTACTGCAAACTCAGGATCATTTGAAGAAGATTAATCACCCTCTTCTGCTTCTTTTGATCTAACCATCGCAAGTAGTTGAAGAATCTTAAAAGTGGAAACGAGAAACATACCATTCATTTTTTTCTGATGGTACTTATAAATGTTTACAAATGGTACTTATAAATGGTACTTATAAATGTTTACAAATGTTTATTCATTTGGTGTATTGTTGCCTTAGGAGCATATAATTAGGATGTCATAGAGTTTAATATTACTTAAACTGGGGCAGCTTCACACACAGACACATGGTTAATTAACATATTTTACAATGACCCCAACTTTACATATTGGTAATGAGAATTCTCATGATGAAAGGTGCTTAACATTTTCACTTAACATTCTTGAAACAGATGGACCATATTGTCAATACAACCATGCTGTCTTTTAAGAACTGTTAAGTTCTTAAAATTCTGCTTCCCAATGTGCCATTCTCTACTCCAAGTCATTGGATTCCCCATCATAATTCAACAAAGCAATCGCTTTTGGTTCTAACTTTAAGCCTACAATCTTTTTTAAAGTAATAGGGAGGTCGGATTACCAGCAAGTAGTTTCCAGTGGTTTCCTGACAATTTTTCAGAGAACCCACAAGACTCTAATTAAAAGCAAATGCAATTGGACAGATAAAATATCCTGAGGTTCACCGCAATGCTTTGATGTCTGCCTTCTGAGGAGGGTGTTGAAATCTCTTGAATATGGGATATATACCACAGCTGACTCTTGCAGTTGCCCTTCATTGGCTTATGCTAGAATACTTAGTGCCACTTCCAAGGATATGAGAGTCACAAACTGAATGGCTTGAACCCTGGTTTTCACATTCCAAGGAGGTGCCTCTGCAAAGTAAACTTTCTTACTCAGCCCTTCCACAGCTGCCCATGCTTAATAGATCACATGAATTCAACATGAGTACATCAAACTGACCTATATCGCAACATGAAGTATTTATTTAGTGCTTTGGGGGTGTTCAAGATGTTTAATAGAATCCTAGTCATGTTCGTCTCTTCCTTCCCTCCTTGATAACTTGAGCACTCATCCTGTTCACCCCATTGTCTCAGCTGCCTCATGCTTTCCTCTCCCTAGCTTCCTCCTTTGCCCCATGCTTTTAGGCCGGCTTCCTCACTCACTGCCATGGCCATTATCTCAATCTCGTGTTCTGCTAGAACAATCTTTTCTCTAACATGATCACAGTCATAATGGCATTTCCTCTGGTAGCTGAGGCCCCGTTCTGAAAATCAGGTCTAGGGTTATCTGTGAAATTTCAATTAAATCAGAAGCTCTGATAGTTTGATAAGCTGCCTGTCATTTTGAGTCAAAACATGAGGTTATTTGATCTGCTGTTTGTGTTTCTGGGGGCCAGAGTGCATCAAAGACCATCAGTGCAGACAGGCAGAGAGACTGATGATGTGGTGGTGACTTTACCAAGCAGTTTTTGACATTTATCTCTTGGATACGATATTCTTTAAAGCACCTAAAAGCTACGTACTTATCTTAAAAGAAATTAAAACTTTTTTTAAAAAAAGAAAAGAATGTGGCCTTGTTCGGATATTTTCTTTGAAGAAGAAATAATTTAGAGATACTGGGATGTTTGAGACATAATGCCAAACCACAGCTTAGTGCCACATGAGGGAGACTTGAGCCTCACACAGGGCTCATCCACAGTTTTGCTTCACCCGTATTTTGATTGTATTGTGTACCAATTAATTCACCCTAGTCTGAAAGCTTTTTGCATTGTTATGTGACTGTCCCTTGCAGAAATACGATCTTACCCACTGAGTTGGATCTTTTCAGATGTGTGCAAAATCTGAAGAGAGATTTTGCTTAACCAAACTTCAATTGAGTGGGTAAGATCAGATTTTTCCAATGAACAGCTATGGAACAACAAGAAAAGCTCTTGGACCCAGAGGAATTAATACACAATATGATCAAAATACAGGCCAAGCCAAAGTGTGGATGAGACCTCAGGCTCACAGGCTCCTTCCCCTTTCCTTTCATGACAGGATCCCCTCCTAGCTTCAGGCATTGATCGCAATTTCATCTGAACCAGCAAACCATGGTTTGTCTTGTCCTACAAACCAGTATGGAAACCAGGATCAAGCCATGGTTTGCAATCCTAGTTTGTGGCATTAAGTTTTGCAGATAGTTTTGCAGGTTTGTACAAAGTGGCAGACAGTGGTTTGCCACAAACAAGGAAGGGAGGGAAGAAATTTCAGCCTGTACGGCGAAGAGAGAAAGCATGAGCTCAAGGGTCTTTAAAAGCTTGTATGCATTGTACCAATCATGGTTTGTTATTACATCTGAACCAGGCCACTGAGTGCTTTTCTTACAAATAGCATGTACAGAATATATGAGGAGTTTAACAGATAAGCTCAGATACAAACTAGGGGCATCTTTTCTATTCAATAAATGTTATGAATTAATCATGAATTGTATTAATCAATTAAAACTGTGTAGCTTTACATATGAATAATAAAAAAGCTTTTTTGAAGGACAGGGTTATGTCAAAGTAGGTCACACTTGGAGTAGATCCAGTGGGCTTAAAATCACTCATAACTAACAAGTGCATTTATTTCAGTGGGTTTGCTCTGAGTGTGAGTGAGATACAGCCCAATCTTTCTTTCACTGATGATTATGTATGTTTATGTATCACAGAAGTCACCTTCTGAGAAGTGGCATATCTAACTCACGTCAGACAAAAGGGGAAATGCTTCTCATGAGATGGCACTAGTCACCTGCAGTTTTATAAACAATACATTTTTGTGTGTGTGTGTGTGTGTGTGTGTGTGTGTGTTGCCTGTAAAATCAGTTTTTATTCAGTCACTCAAAAGGTGTGTGATCATGCATGCACTTGGGGCATAAAGGGCTCCACTTCCTCCCATTTTTAAATACATAAATAAATCTTTGCATGTAAGAGGAATGTTGGTGTCTGATAACCTCCTTCTACCTCTAGGTCAGGATGAGAACATCTGGCTGGACTGCCAATATAAATTCAATTATATAGCATGGTAAAACAGTTCAGATCTCCAAAGATATCAATTACTTTGCTGGAAACCAGAGAGCAGATCAATAAGTGCAAAAGCAATTTTCAGAAACAGGCATATTTCTTTTTCTTGAAAGCAGAGTGGATAGGTGAATAGAACTACCTTTCTTATATGCAGAACATTATGGAATTAGCGATGCAGCGTGACAACCAACTGTAGTGATCTATTTGCACAATGGATTTCACTTTGTGTAAACAGGGCTCATTCTTCCTCCCCTACTCCAGGAATCTGCCCATGTGCCCTTAAAATATACTCTGAAGGCTTGGAGGACCCCTCTGGAGTAGATTGTGAGGTATGGCGACTGCAGGGAGAAGGGGAGGGGAGGCAATTTCATTGCATCTGCTGGTGAAATGTCAGATTTCATGCACAACTGGCTTCCTGTCCAATCACAATATTTTGAATTAGGTATCCCTTTAGATGCATAACATTTTGATTACCTTGTTTTTTGTTTGTTTGTTTGTTTGTTTGTTTAGCTAGCTAGTTAGCTTCATTGGTGCTCAACCACTTCCAAGGATTTAGGGTTCATCATTTAAAATCTGATCAGAACAGGGCCCACATACCTGTTCCCAACTGAAATACTCCCAAAGTTGCAGAAAATATATGAGGAGAGAAAAAAATCCTGTAGAGCTAACCACAGCTTTGCAGGTGAAATTAGGTCAGGAAAACAGCATGAAGAAAATAGTTCGAATTTACTCCACCACTACTGCTCCAATCCCTCCACCCCCACTTACTGCTGTTTTAAAATGAAAATATTTGGACATACATAATGTGTAATTTAGCTTTATATCGCCTGGTAGCTGAACCCCACTAGTAAGCAGCTGCAATACAGATGAGGCAGAGGAACATTCACAACCTTCCTAGGTACACTTGATGCCCTTTTGTTGGGTTGACAGAGTACTAGGAGGCCAGAAAGGATAGCTCATTTGGTAGAGCATGAGACACTTGATCTGAGAGTTGTGCGTTTGAGCCCCACATTGGGGGGTAGGGGGGGGAAAACCCCTGCTAATTACAGTCTGCTGGGAGGAGATATATAACACAAATAATATAGTTATTGGTAATTCAGCAGAATGGTAGGTATATTTCTCTTCTGCATCCAGCACAATCTGCTCTCTTGGTGTGATTGATTTTGCTTTCGGCTTCCAAAAAAATAGGCTCTCCGGATATTGTATCCGTCACGGATCATAATCAAAGCCTTGCAAATCATCTTTGAGCATGAGTATATCTGGTAAGGTAGACGGTGATTAAAACTTGATATTTTAACTGGCAGGATTTCCTTCAGCTGATAAAGCCAATACTTTTATGACTTTAATGATTCCTTGGAAGAACACAATTAGGCAAACTAACAAAGCGAGAAAAGTTCTGTCCTCTGACCTATGATTAAACAGATGCCAAGTTTGTTTCAATTTTCCCCTTGCATAAGCGCGCGCGCACACACACACACACACACAGATTTACATGTGCCAAATTATAGTCTCATTTCCCTGGGAATTAAAAGCTTAAAATAAAACCAAGTGTTCTTCCATCCTCTGGATGCGATAAAATGCAATGACCTTTAGCTTCCTTCCTCGCTAACAAAATTGGAGAAGTGCAGCAGCAAAAGCAACAATGGAACTTACTCTTTAGGAGGGTTTAGGTCCTCTGGTCTGGTCTCAAAGAACTGAAAGACTTCATCACACTGTGAAATGTGAGGGGGAAGCTTCACCAATGCCTGTTTTAAAATATATATAAGGGAAAGTCAGTTTTTAAAAATATGCCAAGTAAAAAGATTTTTTTTCAAAAAAAGTTTTGGATCATATCAACCCAGAAATGTTAGTGAATAAAAACAGGATGACATAAAAACACAAATTGGACTTATAAACTTGGTCTTCAAGCAGATTCATAGCTGTCGATCCTTGTTCAATATTCCCCAGCCTTGGGCCCCAGATGTTGTTACACCACAATCCCCATCATCCCCAGGCAGCATGGCCACAGGTCAGGGGTGATGGGAGGTGTAGTCCAGCAACACCTTGAGACCAAAAGGTTGAAAAAGCCTGCTTTAGTTGGTCGTCGCTTTCTAGGCATGGGACAAGCAGAAATGTAGACTAGTCCTTACCGATGGGGAATTTTCAAAGAGAAAGACACCATCTATTGTAATGGTATCATTAGCTGGTACAAAAGAAGAAACAATCTTATGCTCTATATTTAAATAAGCACAAACGCTAGCTGTTCTGGGTCAAAACATACCTATACTATTCTTGTTTAATGTTTTGTTAAAAAAACAGTCCTTGACATTATAATCTCACTCATTTCATAATTCACTTAAAGATGCTTTACTACAACTTTGAACATTTGACCTATTGTAGTTATAGATGGGCAAGGTGCCATTTTATACTTCCCAATGCCTCCAACCAATTAATTTACTTGAGATTTATATCCTGTTCCAAGAGCACTGTTGTGCATCATGGTTTTGAGTCTTGATGAAAGGTTCAGATATCCTTTGATCATTATCCTGTGCAAAATGATGCCATGGTGATCCACTTCTATTATTTATTTATTTTTCAAAAAAGGTATTAGGAATACTTCCTTCCAATTTCTAATGGCTGGTGTTTATGCACAGGATCAGATACAACAATTTTGACTTCCCAGATTGCAAAGAGATTTAAACAAATCAGCAAGGATAATGGGTAGGAGTTTTTTTACTATTTTATCTAAGGGCTCGTCCACACTACTGCTTCTCACGTGCCTATAAAGCACATGTCTGAGAGGTTTTCTGTTTGACCAATGCTTTCTAAGTATGGGTCTGAGAGGTTTTTCCCTTACCCTGCTCCTTTCCCAAGGAAAACCTGCTCTTTAGCTCTAAATAGAAACAAATGGAAATCCATGGAAAACCCAATTGTTGTTCGCTCCTATTGAGAGCTAAAGAGTGGTTTTCCCCGGGGAAAAGTATGGGTAAGCCCTGAGACAGGTTGTCACCAAAGAGTTCAGTATAACCAAATCTTCTCAGACTTCTTATAAACCCATTCACCAGAATGAGGTTGCCTGGCTTATCTGGATGTAAAAGCAGATTTTTTAAATTGGTTTTTTTCTCTAGATAGGTCTTGGCAATTTGAATGTCCTACCAATTAGGACTAGCAAACTTAGATCTACGGTAACTCTTTTACTATGTGCCTGATTTATAGTACTCTGATACCTTGTTCTGTGATGGTGCATTTTTTTAAAGCAATTGCTTTTCATTGTTTCTTTATGTTGTTGGTCTTGTTGTTTGCCTTTCATGTTTGAAAAAAAAACCCTTTCCATTATTTAATGCAATTTGATAAGGTTTGTTTATTTACGTCACCTGTTTATATACTGTTTACGTAATCACCCAAGCGTCTAAGTGGTGCATATACATATTACGAGGGGGAAACCATGCAGTGGATAGGATCAATTAAAATTAATCATAAAGACAGAAGATCAGTTTGACTGCAATTATATTGCCATGATGTGATTTGAAAATGTGGGCTTGACTGTGATTATATCCACGATTTATGATATGATTTTCTTGGCACAGGAGTTAAGAAAGTCTACCCCGACTGTTAGAAGACCCCCATATTTCCTTCTTTTTCATGGCTTCCTGCCTGCACTAGGAGCCGAAAAAATCCCAGAACCTTTTATACTGTTTTACTTCTGTGCATGGTGATTAGAGGTAAATACTTTTCATTAATTGTGTGAAATACTGGTATTGTTTCCATATAACCGATAGGAAGGAATTGCTGAAACTAAAAGCTGGTATGGCCCACAACCATGCAAGGGCACTCTGAGATCCCTGTGTTTGCATTCAGGTGCCTGTGTTAATCCAATCCATGGTTTGCAGGATCAGGCATTGTACATGCATAATCCCTCCTCTCCTTTCCCCTTCAGTGCTTGGTTTAATGAAACACATCCTGATTTTATGAGCCAAATAAGGATTGCAAGCCAAAGTTTAAATTTGAATTTGCAATTTTGGTCTGGAAATTCAAACCAGTTTGTAGTCTGACAAACCAGTAAGTGTTCCATTAAGATGGGCCTGCTTATAGGAAGAAAGGTGAGGAAAGAGTTAGTTCATGCAAAGCTTGTCCCCAAGACTTTGTTGGACGACTGGACAGCATGACATCTGAATAGAACCTGTGTAGATGGTTTCTGCAATTGAGCTAGCCCCACACAGCACCAGTAGTGCAAATTGCCCTTACACAATCCAGTGGGGCTGGGCTGCAAGCAATAGCTTTGTTGTAAGTGACAGCTTTATCAGTTTGCTTCTTTTACTTCAAAACAGAAGATATATGTACTTTGCGACTGGAGAAGATGAACACACCATTTCATAGGAGGTTTTTTCCCCCTAAGGAAAAGGTTAATGAAATGTCAAGACATTGCTGTGAGAGTAAAGGCTACGTAGCCCTGCTCACATTTGTCAATTTTTCAAAAGGCTAAAAGATCCCTGTAGCACTTGAGTGGAGGGAGCGGGAGCAAACAGCCTCTAAAGAGTTTGGGGAATATTGTTGTTTTGAAATCTCAAATGCTTTTTAAAAGCTCACAAAACGGCAGGGACATCAGAGTGGGAAAAGAGTCACTCATCAAGTACTGATTTACCGTAATAGGGACTATTGAAAGGTGTCAATGATACTCACGGAACCACATTCTGCAAGTGCCTCTACATTCTGGGCTCAAGTGGTTTTGGAGTCGTTCCCTTGGGAAGTGTAATTCTATTAGGGGGCAAAGGCTTTTTAATGCTTATTTATTTATCTTGTTGGATCAGGATACTGGGCTAAAGAGACTTTGGTCTGAATGATCCAGAAGGACATCAGAAGGAATTAAGTAGCAGAGGACGGGGGCATGGAGAAGGGGAATGGACAAGGTAGAAAAGACGCCACTGGCTCAACAAATGGAATTAAATGTTTTGGCAAATAAGAATGGAAAAGGCATTATATGCATTAACAGTGCAGGATACATTGCAAACACATTTAGAGAGGTTTTATGTGACCACAACAGTTGAGAACCCTTACTAAAGAATGAAATGTGTCTGGTATAGAAAGCCTATGAAGAAGTAGCTCATTATTTCAGATTGGGGGAAACTGCAAAGATGAAAGAAGAAAGCTGCTTCAGATGGGCCCTGGAAGAGTTCAATTCACACAAAAATAATGGCAAGTTTGCTAACAGGAAAATGATCCAGGGAGATAAATTCCAGTGGGTAAGAAATATTTACAAGCGCAGCTCACACAGTCTTGCTGATTACCAGGCAAAACATTCAGAGTTCTGTTGTTTGTGTTTATATACATGAAAAGATAGATCCCTTACTGTGCCTGATCCTCAACTTGCCTCTGGAAAGACTTCCATTACGGTGCCAGAAAGAGCCTAATTATCAAAGTTGAGTTATTTACTTTAGCAGCTGTATGGCTATGAAACACATCACACGGGTTCTTGGGAGGTCTGCTGAGCAGAGGTAGCCTGGGCATCTCCTGTTCTTCACTTTCAAAGATTCCAGTCAACTATACAGCAGATCTGATTTTGAAAGTAATATTTGCCATGAGTTTCTCTATATGCAGAGATTGGTGTATTTTGATTTGCATTGCTTCTTTCTGCTGAATAAAATAAATTCCATATCTGCTTTTTCTAGGGCATAATTTGGGAAAACGATTTGATGTGACCAAATATAGCCTGGTACCAATTCCATGTTGGGGGACGCGGATGGCGCTGTAGTCTAAATCACAGAGCCTAGGGCTTGCCGATCGAAAGGTCGGCGGTACAAGCCAAGGGGCAGCTGAAGAGTTCTGAGGCCAAACAGAGTGGAGTTACACTGCAAACCTTTCGGCCACCCCTTCAAATTCTCTTTTTCACTGTGTATGCTCCGGTTTGTTTTCTTTTATTTATTTTGTAAGAGGCACAAATATTTCCTGGCATATTATTCCCTAACTTTGGGTCCAATCATACAAGTCCCAGTGCATGTTAGTTGCACTACATCCCACAGAGCACCACTGTAACTGGAGCAGCATTGTGTGTGTTAGCAAAAAGGGCTGTGTTTGTATGTTGTGATAAACCACATTGCCATGCAAGCTACACCTGCTGAAATTCACAACCATCAGAGGTGCAAGGGCCTCCCTCTTTTTCACCATGCCACCCTAGCTGACTTGTACACTGGACATAATATGATGTCTCTAATTAGTGGGCATTTGCATGATCACATTCCATATCATGTGAGTTCAAAGAATCAACTGTGAATCTCAGTAGACAAAGGACTGCTGCTTTTTTAATAACTACAGTGTTGTCGATGGAACAGCCCTGCTAACACTCAATCAATATAGACGCACACATACACACACAATCTTCATGTCAAGCTGCAGCTTGTACTTCGTTCAGTATCGATTAGAATTTTTAAGAACAAAAGGAGCCTGACTTCACTTTGGTAGATTCCACTGACACAGATAGTAAACAAGGCCAAGATGAATACTGACTAGCAGTTAGGTAGCCTTCGTTATCACAGCCATAAATGATATAACAATTTCTCAAGCATGTATTTCTCAGACACGTCCCTCGCGCCAGTAAGGGACTGTCTGCTTCTCAAACAATTGCATCTTAGATAAGTAACCAATGTCTGCTTTCTGGGTGGGGTCAGAGGCCACCTCTACAATCTTGGAGTGAATTCCTGCTTTCTGAGCAGCACGTCTGTTCAGTGAACCCATGACGTTATTTCATATGCACATGTTTTGCACAGTTCCTGTTTGAACGATTAATGTGAAGGATACAGTGTGAGTACACGTGGTTACAGCCATTATGCCTTCATTTGCCAGACACTGCATCAATTGTTGCACAAAAGGCTTGATCTCATAAGGTAAGGTTTTAGTTCCGTTTTCCCTAGCCAGAGGGTTGAGAATTAATGCTATCTTTTCTTTGGGTCTCGAGCTCTTAGAACTTTGATGCATGTTGCTATCAATACGCTTCTACCACATTATTTTGCCTAAAATTATACTGGGGGAAGGGGGAGGGAAGCAGAAGCTGAACTAATTTTAGAGACCCTATTTGACCCTCTATTAGTCAGCAAGTGCTAACACCATGGGCATCATGTCTTTGCCTCTGTTTAACCATGCTCAGTGAGGGCATTTATAAGATAAATTAATGTAGACTGGTTACTTCCTGATACTCTTTGAGCCTTTGTTCATATGATCAGGATCCAAAAGAATGAGGATACATGCACACACACCATTCTAATACAAACAGCATTTATATTAATTGTGTGCATATTTGGCTGAACAGTGGGGTAAAAAAATCCTTTAAATAAATAATTACTATTTTGAAAACACAACACGATGATTGTGAAAGGGGCCCAATTATGTGTATGGTGACTGAGAAGTAAGCCCCACTGAATTTTACGGAGTTTACTCAAAAGTAAATGTGCATAGGATTTGCAGCCAGAGTGAAGCAACAGAAGAGACAGTTTGGTTTTAAGGAGCAGCAGGCCTTTGTAACTTACTTTGAAAAACCACAGTTTCTAGATGTAGTAGCTGGCAACCTCACAGGAGTGAACCTCCAAGAATTCCAGCTCCAGGATCCTCTCTGGTCTTTGACCTATAAAGCTCTATAGGTCCAGTATACCTATTAAGCGTCCTCTTTCTTTCCTTCTTCCATTAGAAATAATACTGAATGAACATGCCCCCCTGCAGGCACTGGGTCAAGGTGATCAATCATGTAAATAGTTACTTTTAAGAAGAAAGGAAATACTTTGAAAAATACCATGGGAGTCTTCTGTAGAACTGTTATGTATTGAAGTTCTCACTCTGGCCACCAGGAGTATCGTGTATATAGTTTTCACTCAGGTCCACGCCAGTTACTTTAGGCGGGAAACCCTGGGTTGTTGTTGCTACAATGTTGACAGCCGGCTGCCTATAAAAGCAGGCCGGCTGAGCTGTTTGCTGTTCAGTTCTGTTCCAGCTTACAAATAAAGAGCTGCTTTGGAGAAATTGCTGCATCGTCAGCTATTTAACAAGAACTGTGTAACACTGGATGTTCTAGATTATGATGGGATGGGAACACATTGCCACAGGAGTTATTTAAGAAATAATTAAATGTCATAGGGATGTTGACATCACTTAAGAGAGAGGACTATATTATATATGTCCTTTCCCACTACACACCACTGGAACTCAAAGGGCGCATTCTGAAGGGTAAGCACCATTTTCATCTTCCTTTATTTTTCAGATTCAGATTACAGTTAATTCAACTATGCATCTTTTGTTTGTGTGAGAGCAAAACTCTGTAGACATACTAGTAAGCTAAAACAGTCCCATTCCCCTCTAAATATGCTTGGGTGACCATCTCTCATTGTGTTTTGTCAGTTATCACTCTCCTAAGAAGATAAGAATTCTTACCCTGCAATAGTCATCAATAGGCCGTAGCCTCTTCACAGCGACATCTCGAATGTGACTTCTCCGGAATAGGATTTTACCTAGGGGGGGAAAGAGGATGTAGAAATTGAGCAGGTGCCTCCTAGACAACACTTTGACTATTTGAGCCCAGGTGTGAAGAAAAAGGTTAGAAAGTTGGATCTCTTCATAATCTCTAAATGAGTGAGGCTTGTGGCAGAACAAGAGGTCTGACAGTTTGGATTTGTTACACTTTTTCACACTCTAGAAAATGTGTGAAATAAGGCTGGCTGTCAGATTTTTAGTACTGCAGGCATCGGTACCCAGTCAAAAATGTAAGCATGGATAGGCAAACTAAGGCCCAGGGACCGGATCTGGCCCAATCGCCTTCTAAATCTGGCCTATGGACGGTCTGGGAATCAGCATGTTTTTACATGAGTAGAATGTGTTCTTTTATTTAAAATGCATCTTTAGGTTATTTGTGGGGCCTGCCTGGTGTTTTTACATTAGTAGAATGTGTGCTTTTATTTAAAATGCATCTCTGGGTTATTTGTGGGGCATAGGAATTCATTCTTCCCCCCCCCAAAAAAAATATAGTTTGGCCCCCCACAAGGTCTGAGGGACAGTGGACCGGCCCCCTGCTGAAAAAGTTTGCTGACCCCTGGTGTAAGGAATCAGGGCTCAGAACAGTGAGGACTGAATGCAGGACCCTGGTGTCCTACTGTCTGAACCACCCTGCCTGGAAGCAGCTGCACCAGATGGCTGGAGAATAATACATACAGAACCATCCATTCTGACTAGATCCTACAAAGACAGCTTAGTAGGGCCTGAAAAATGAAGCAGGAAAGCCTGATCATGATTGTCTATGAGCTGGTAACTTCCAGGTTGGATACTGTAATAACCCTGCATCTATTTCAAGGGTTGCACATGTTTGCAGGATCAGGACCAGGTTCTCATCAACAGCTGGCTGGTGCTGGCTGCTCTAACAATACTTGCTGTCTCTTTGGAGGATAAGAGAATGCATTCCAGCACCCCTCAGTAGCTGGCAAAATATCAATTTAGTGGGTCTGGGTGTGATTAAGAAGACCTGTCAGGCTAAACGAAGGGAGGATTAAACTGGGGGATTAAACTGCATAAATCATGTGTAAGTTTTGCTTCACTTCTCATTCCACTACACCAACACAAGGCAACATGGGATACATGCCTTGGTTTTTCTCGCAATATGGGACCAGGAATGTGAGGCTTAGTTTAGGGCAAACATCCTCCTTTCAAACTGCTGCACAGAAGGACACTATAAAAACATCCTAATTTTGTGGGGTTGTGGTGGTCATTACGGTTTTTACAATACAACAGCCCCCCCCCCCTTTTCAACATTCCAACTAACTGGTGTGCTGGGCAAGCTAAGCAGAAGTTTTAATAATGTGTCTGTGGAGACAGTGTGGATTGTGAACGACTCCCATTCCCCAGTTTCTAATCCAAGCCACAAAGTGAAAACCAGACTGGTGGCGACCATATTTTACAAAATATAAAGCAGCCATAGATGTGGAACACATGAAAGGCCTCCTGAACTTGTAATTCAACTTCGCTAAGCAGACAGTTTACAAGGAGGCTCATTCCTGCCAACAGCTCCAAAGTACCATAATAGATACAAGGTTTGGACATGAGAAACAAGGCAAGTGTAATGTTATGTGTGGAACAGAGTAATAAAACAAAATAGAATAAAATAAAAAGGGTGGGGTGAGGTTCTAGGATATGCCTTATCTGCATTCATTCTTTAAATGCTGCTGCTGCTGCTGCTCTCTAATGGAAGAGAGATTGGGAAGTCATCTGTAGACCATTTAGGCTGGCAAAAAGACCCCACACCATACCCAGTTCAGGAGAAAGGCAGGGATTAATGATTTAACCATTATTGCCCATGGAGAACTCAGCAGGCAGGAGGAGGAGGAGGATGGGGACAAAACCAGAACTATTTGGCTCTACCCAGGGCTTTTTTCAGCCAGAACTCATCGGAACTCAGTTCTGGCACCTCTCAGGTATGCACCATTGCCATTATAAGAGAAAAAGGGAAGTGTTCATGGTGAGTTCTGACACCTCTTTTTCTAGAAAAATAGCACTGGCTCTACCTCTGATTGGCTTGGTCTCCACTTACTGTTGGTCTCCCTGCCTTGGCAAATCCACACCGTGATCAACTCCCACCCGGAAACCAATGTCCCCACTGTGAAAGGACATGTGGATCCAGAATTGGTCTCCACAGTCACGTACGGACTCATTTTTAAAACCGTGTTTATGGATGACAATCTTACTTGGCTGCGAGTGATCGCCAAAGAAGAAGAAGAAACCCTATTAGCCCCAGTGGACACCAGCCACCACTGAGAGAGAGAAATAAGTAATTTTGGTCCAGGCATTGCATTTTCAGCTACTGTATAGCATTTTCCCCACATACTACCGCTTCCTTTCCACAAACATGCACACACAATCTTGCAAAATCCCATTTATTTATTTTTTAAATATGCCTAATTCAAATGATTTATTCCAGCACAGAAACTGCTTTGAGTTTTTAGTGCATACATTTTTATGTTAGCCTCTTGTGTACAATCATTTTCGTCACAGGGAAATTCAAGCTACTGTTTAAAGATTTCTTGAAGACCTGGGAAGATCAAATATCCCCATTTATTGCCAAGAGATTTATGATGATCTGTATTGGTCCACCATCAGGAAGGGAGTTCATCTGGCACAACTCTAATTGACTTGCTGGTTGAATGCATCTTTAAGCCTTCCTTAGAGCTGTATGATTTGCTCTGATTTTTAAATGGAGAATTGTTCCTAACATTGTTGCACCATGTCTGTATAGGGCTGTATAAATAGGAGGGGGGAGCTATAACACCACTACCACCACCCTGCTTTAAAGAAATATATTTCTCCATTTATCTGTAGTTGTCATTTTTAGGCACTGGAGGAGCACAGATCTACAATTGGTACTGGGAAACAAACTTCCTTTATGCTTCTCACCATGAAATTCCTTCCATCACTCTGCAGGAGAACAAACACTCAAGCCTCTGTTACATACAATAAAATTCACAAATGGCCATTATAGGCAAGCTGTCTGAAGCCACTTGGACATCAACAAGAGGAAAGCAGGGGTGGGGAGACACAGAGAGTGTTTTGTTGACAGAATGTCAACTTCATCCTTCTCATCACAGTGTAACCAATGGCCAAGGAGCTGCACAAATATACCAACTGAAATTGCATCCAAAAAGATTCCCTTCTTACAGTTTTACAGGATAAATTAAAGACTTCTTGCATCATCTCTCTGATAACTCCTTGAAGTAAAAAAAAACAAAACCCAAGTTTTGACTGCATGTGCAGTAGACAGGGCAGGAATGCTGTTATATAAGTCAAGAGATGCTACTCAACAGGCCTTCGCCAGAAACCTGACATGAAGCCTTATAGTCAGGTGGGAATCATAACTTTTGCAGTTACAGAACATGTTTTTTACAGTATGTTAGGGACATACACAACTGCAGTATCTTAAATGACACTCAATGAACCTGCTGCTCTCCCGTGCCTCCTGCTGTCCCTTCTTGATAATTCTTTCTTTAAGAATAGGCAGGAAAGAAGGAACAGTGTCCATGACTATGGTCGGACCATACACACTTCCCAAACAATTCTGGGAACTGTTAATGGTGATGGTAATTGTAGCTCCATGAGGGATGAACCATAAATGTATGGTGTGTATGTAGCATGTGTAGAGCTGGCCTGTAGAGAACTCTGCTTCAGATGCTGCCCTAGTTGTCCTGCTCAAGGGGGAGACCTCAGCATTCCCAGCCTGAGGATGTGGCTCTTCCATCATCATTGCAGTCTGAAGATGATTCCCTTGCATCCTCTCCCACACTGCAAAATAGCTTACAGGCCCTTTAAGTATAGCAACTAATCTTGGGGAGGTGAAGAACCACTGGAAGATCAAGGTTCCAGAGGACCCTAATCCTTTCCTGAGAAAACATCTTCCTAAACACAACTAGCATGGACTTCTTGCCGCATTATTCATCACTATAGAGCCCAAGGATACTTTGAATGCCAAAAGTCCCAGGTTCAGTTGCCAGCATTTCCAACCGAGGCTGTGTCGGATCCCTGTTGGAGTCTCTCAAGAGCTGCTTCCAGTCACTGTAGAACAATGGTCTGGTTTGGAATAAGGCAGCTTATCACCCTCTGAAACCTGTTAACCGTTTACTATGCAGGCTATTCTTACTTCAGCCTCCAAAAGAGGAAAAAATCAAAATGAAAGCTTAACTGCAAAATAACTACACTTCAGCTCACATAAGAGAATCTGCTGTTATTAAGCAAAGTGCCTGTGTCAGAATGAACCCATTCAGGCCACACAGAGCCGTCACATTTCAACAGCCTTTCCCCCAATGAAAGCAAAAGCATTAAGAAGCTCACTCAGGGATTGTTGTTCTAGCCAATTACTTCCCCCCTTGAAAGGAAAAGTGTCCTAAGCAAAAATGACAGCAGGATCTGCCTCCTGCTTTCTCCATAGTTATAGAATTTTTCACTATATAAGAAAGTACAGGATATATGACAGCTTTTTTATATATAAATGAATACTAGTAAAACTTAGAAGGAGGATTGTGAACTGACAAATGTCCTTTTGGATCTTGAATAATTGCATCTGAATTTCAGAGCATAAGGCAGTCGCACTGGACAGGCTGCTAGAAAAACACTAGCCCAAACAAGCTGGGCCTTCTTTCCAAGCACAGCCAAAGAGAAGCAACAACTCCCCAAATACTGCCTGCCTTTGTTCCCTTGTGCTGCTGTGCTATGCAGGCTGGCCATCGTTTACAGAATCCTGACACCAAGAACCTCACATAACCCTCAAAGGGTGGTCAGGTTTGTAGACTTGAGGTCTCCATTTCCATCCTGATGATGGATAGATGCCATCCTCCTCACAGGCCTATGAACAAAGCACACTGAGAGCTCAGCTGAGCACTCTCCTACCTTTCCACATCTGAAGGGTGTGTGGACTGTATGGACCGGATGTGCTGTATGAAAGCATTTTAAACCCACAAATAAAGGCACGCTTGCCTTT